CCAAAAGATAGAAATGAAGCAGGAAAGGGAGGGAGGAATTACTCCACCCATCACCTTACTGCAGCCTTCACTTAACCTGTCAGAACAAAGAGAGAGTCTTTCCAATACAGCACACTCTCTCTTGCAGCCTTTGACTTTGGGAGATACTTATAGAGTGAGAACTGATAGTGAGTTGAGGTTGTTTTCTTAGGGCAGAGAGGCAGGATCCGGAAGATTTAAAATGAAGCCAGAGTAGGGTGATCCTAAATCCTGGTTTGCTTGGGACAGGCCCAAGAGTAATTACCATAGCACCCCTTCCATTCTCAGCTGTGTCTTGGTTTGCACACTAAATTATATGGGCACCCTGGGGGGGCATGGTGAATTTTTTTCATGCATTTGCTCTGATGATTCCCCTGGGAAAATCGACTAAGCTGTTAAGGGTTTGGCTGGGTCCAAAGCTCTGTGTTAGGCTCTTTGGAGCACTGCATAACAAGTAATATTAATAAAACATGTGGTTCCCCGTTAGTAGTTCTCAACAGGTATTAAGTTTGGGAGAAATAAACATTACTCCTCCCCCATCACTGCTTTTCTCATTCCCAAGATTAATGCTTCTTTTATTGGCAGGGGGGAGGAGAGATATTTTGATATAGGGTGCATGTGCTTGCCAGACAGACAGAGACACTCAGAGACACAGAAAGTGAGAAATCACACTCCAGGGGGGATGGCCATGACACAATCCCTTCTCTTCCATTTTCCTCTTGGAATTTTGGGCACACACGCACATGCGCATAACATGTGCTTCAAGCCACCAGGTCCGGGACTCAAACTGCGGCCATTGTAACTGCTTTGCCATCTACTGTCCCCCCCACACCAGTTAAAGCTTCTAAGGAACTAAATTTGTACCCCAACAATGCTACAGAAGTTAACTACTGGGACTAGCAGATGCTTAATGGTTATGTTGCTGGACTCCCATGTTCCCATGTAGTGGACTACGGTTTGAGTCTTGGCGGCTTGAAGCTCACACTAGGCATGTGTGTGCATGCCCAAAATCCCAAGAGGAGAATGGAGGAGAAGGGACTGTGTTGTGGACATCCTCCCGGGTGTGTGTGTGCGTGTGTGTGTGTGTGTGATTTCTCTTTCTGTCTCTCTGTCTCTCTGTCTCTCCAGCCAGTGCATATGCTCTATAGCAAAAATCTTTCTCTTTAAAAAGTTAACTGCTTAGGGAACCAGCAGTTAGCGTAATGGCTATGTCGCTGGACTCCCACGTAGTCGACCGCGGTTCGTGTCCCGGACCCGGTGGCTTAAAACTCACGCCAGGCGCGTGTGCGTGCGTGCCCAAGATCCCGAGAGGAGAATGGAGGAGAAGGGATTGCGGCGTGACCATCCCCCCTGGGGGGGGTGATTTCTCGCTTTCTGTCTCTATGTCTCTCTCTGTCTGTCTGGCGAGCGCACGCGCCCTACAGTGAAAATCTCTCAAAAAAAAAAAAAATCTTATGGGGAACTTGTTAAAAATAGAGGCTCCTGGGCCTGCTGCCTAAGATTCCGATTCATCACATCAGAGAATCCATTAAAAATAAATGAATAAATAAAAGTAAAGCTTCCTAGGTGTTTTGTGCATGGAAGCCAGATTTGGACCCATGGGTGAGTCATATCCCTTGACCTCTGCTGGGAGTGACCCACTGTTGCTATGGAAACCACTGCTGTGTACCTCAGCCAGGCTGGATTTGGGGATTTTGCTTTTTTAAGTACACATCTGTTTCAAAAATAGAGGGCATTTGGAAGAAAAGATGTGTTTTCTCTATCAAGATATTTCTATTTAGAGAGAAAAAAACAAAGCCCCCACAAAACAGAACATTTTCTTATCTGAACCCAAATTGAACAGAAAATAGACACTTCAGTCTAACTGGAAAGGTCTACCGAGCAAGGCATCTCCTGAGGCAAGTTCTAGACTGTCTGGCGCTTCCTTCAGGTTTTAGCTCTGCGAGGTGCCTGGCTGCTGAAGTCTGGGCCTCACCGGCCTCTCTGGGTGCTCGGAGGGGCTGGCTGACTGGCCAAGGTGATATGAAGACTCTGGAGGCTCCAGCTTGGGGAAGAGCTAGAAAAGGAGGTCTCTGTGGAAGTTACCACAGGGTAAAACGTACACACACATGCACACGCACACACAGCTGTAGAGCCAGATGACCCGTACTACACTACCCTGACAAACGCATCACCTTACACTCCAGGGGCTGAGGAAAGAGCAGTAACCCACCTTCCTTCAGGCTCAGCAGCAGAGGAGATGGGGATAGAGGGAGGGCTCCTGTAGTTTTATGTTGCAAAGTTGGTCTGATGAACTTAGAACCTAGTGAGTCGAAGTTCTCTTTCTTGCAATTAGAAATAGAAGTGTGGGGACCAGCATGTGGCATAGTAGTTAAGATGCTGGACTACCACATGGCCAACCGTGGTTTGAGTCCTGGACCTGGCTTGAAATTTATGCCAGGTAGGAACCAGCAGTTAGCATAATGGCTGTTTCTGGACTCCCATGTAGTCAACCACAGTTCAAGTCCCAGACCCGGTGGCTTGAACTCACTCTGGACACGTGTATGTACGTGCCCAAGATCTTGAGAGGAGAATGGAGGAGAAGGAACTGCGGTGTGACCATCCCCCCTGGGGGGGAGAGTGATTTCTCCCTTTCTGTCTCTCTGTCTCTCTCTGTTTCTCTGGCGAGCGCACGCGCCCTATAACAAAAAAAAAAAAAAAGAAGAAGAAAAAATTCATGCCAGGTATGTGTGCGTGCATGCCCAAAATTCTGAGAGGAGAATGGAGGAGAAGGGATTGTGGTGTGGTCATCTCCCCTGAAGGATGATTTCTCACTTTCTCTGTCTTTCTTTGTCCCTCCAGGAAGCACAAACACCCTATAGCAAACATCTCTCCCCCCAAAATACCAAAAATAAATAAACAAATACAAGTGTAAAATGGTTACTTCTCAAATGGAAGATTCTCGGAATGCACTATTCTGTAAATCCTGACAGATCTTCAGGTTCCAAAGAGGCTCACTGAGACCCATGATCTTGCCAGAAACCATCACGCTAAGGTGGGGAGGCGTGTGGCGCATTACCCCACGGCTACCAGCTGTAAGGAGTGGGGGACACTTTGCTATAGTTCTGTGTCATAGGAGGAGCTGAGTCGTGGCCGAAATCGGGATCGGTCCCTTTCGGTTCTCCTTCCCTCTCTCCCAGCCTTTGTCTGCAGAAATCCCTGACTTCAGGTCAAATGAGTTTTTCTTTTCTTTTTAAAAATTTTGCTAGAGGGTGCATGTGCTCACAGGAGAGAGAGGAAGCAAGAACGCATTTCCCCTTTGGCAATGGTCACACCACAATCCCTTCTCCTCCATCTTTCCCTCCTGTTGGGATTCTGGGTGCGCGCTCACACACACACACACACACACACACACACACATTTGGTGTGGTGTGTCTGTGATTTGAACCACATAGTCATCCTTGTGGGATCCGGCCACCTTATCTACCATGCCACAGGCTGCCCTGAATGTGCTCTTATTTTATTTTTTTTCTTAAAAAGAGATTTTATTTATTTATTTTTGCTATAGGGTGCATACACTTGCCAGAGAGACATGGGGAGACAGAGAGACAGAAAGCGAGAACTCATCTCTTGGGGGAATGGGCACACAGCAATCCCTTCTCCTCCAATCTCCTCTTGGGATTTTGGACACACACGAACCCGCGCCCACCATGAGTTTTAAGCTGCCAGGTCCAGGATTTGAACCTCAGTCAACTACATGGGAGTCCAGCAACATAAATGCTGCTCCATCTGTTGGTCCCCTGAATGTGCTTTTCAAACCTCCACTCAGACCTATGTGCTCAGTCCTTCTCCCAGAAATGCTCCTAATGTGCTTCACCTTAGTTCAGGGCACAGAAAACCCAGCTAAATCCCCTGACCCAGTTGACTCTGCCCACTCCATTCTGAGAGCCACTCAAGATCTAACTGTCCTCTTCCAAACCCTTCCACAGCTCCACCACCTCTGTCTCCAAACTTTGCACCACTATCCAATACTTACAACTTCTCTTTGCTAACAGAATTCACTTCCCAATCATTTCTCATCCCAGATACTGGGTTGTCAGAGAAGTCATGATGCAAAAAAAACACATCATGAGGCCTTTCCGAACAAGCCAGTCTCAGTGTAACTGCCTCCCCCCTCCCCCCCGCTGTCCCCGCCCCCTGCCAGCCGATTAGAGACCTCTAGCGCCCATGTGGGCTTATCAGCCAGGAGCACCAGGGAGATCTGCCAAGTTTACTGAGAGGAAATGTCTGACCCATTTTTATTTTCCAGGTCTGACTACATGAGAAATTGACACAACAAAGAGAATGTGATGTAAGAAGTAGAAGGGAACACAGACAACTTCTGAAAAGGGCTGGATGGAAAAGAAAAGGAACTAACGCTGACATCGCAACATCCCACAAAACCAGTTTATTCTAAATGGCCTCCAACTCAGTTACTGCCGCCACGACCATCATCAGCCTCCGTGTGGGAACCACTGGGCTTGCTCCGAGGCCCTGGGGTCCTCGCATGGATCTGCAGGGTCATGGGAGTGTGGGGTCCACCTGCTCATTCAGGCAGACCCCACTTGTCCATCTGGTGTTGAGGTGACCCTCTCAGTGCATCCTGGGAAACTGTAGAGACGTGCTCTCCTCCCTTCCGCTCCTTTTCTTCCCCCCAAGCCTGGGCTCCAAGTGAGTTAGAAATTCTTAACCTGGGACCCACAGATGGGTTTCAAGGGTCTGGGACCCTCTTAACTTTGGATATTACATGCAACATATGTATGTGTGTGTGTGTATGTGCGTGTGTGTGTGTGTGGTGTGCAAGAATCTTCTGAGATAAGATTCACAATTTTTATCATAACATTTTCAAAGGGATCTCCCTGACTGGTCTTGGCCTGCTCTGGGTGAGCCGCGGGGTGCCAAGCAGGCAACCCGGAGGGACTGAGAGGCTCACGCACCCTGATGGCCAGGACTGGGCTCTGTACCTTGGAAGCTGCCATCACAGCCGCTGTGGCCGCCACGTTCAAGCCCCGCTTCCCAAAATGCACAAGGGCATCGTAACTTCGGTCTTTTGCTTGGACGAGACAATCATCGATTTCCTGTTGGAAAAAACACAGGCACCCTGAGTTGGAAGATTCAAATCTCTGTTTCCCTTCTCGTGAAAACTGGGCTTGGCAGCCGGCCCCATGGCTGATTCGCACTGTGCCTGAAAGGTCAGAGACGCTTTGAGTTTGTGTGTGTAGACAGGGGCAGAGGGAAAGACAGTAGAGAGGCAGGAGAAGAGAAAAGTCGATTGGAAAAACAGTAACTGACCCAGCGATGTCCTGGAATTGTCCTGATCCCTCTGACCTTCCAGGGCTCCTGGACGTGGACAGTCCTGCCATCTACACCAGTCGCTCTTTAAGACACTGAAAGGACCCCTGGTATTGATAGTGCCAAGAATCATGCTTCTAACCTCAGACCTGCCACTGAATGACAGACCGTGACCACTTCTTATCTTCCTCTATAGAATTCTGTCTTCTGAAAAATGAGGACAGTGAAGACACCTAACTCGTGAAGTGCGGTGAGGATGACATGAAGCCATTCCAATAAAACACAGTGGCTGATTTCCAAGTGATAACCACCGTCCTCTTCCGTCTCCTGAGGGAGTTAGGCCCTTGCAGTTCTCAATTCCATTACTCTGTAGTTACTGAATTCTAAATCCGAGTACACCTCATGTGTGTATCGCAGGGAGAGATTAGGAAGCAGAAAGAAATGAGCGTTATTGGTGTTGATAAGGGAGATCATGTTACAGATACTGAAACAAAAGCAGAAACCCGGCATCACACAACCAAGTAAAGGTGACACAGGATCGGACTGAAATCTCCCTCAGGGACCAAGGCTGAGGGGCACTATCGATTCAGTTCCAATTTCGGTAAACTCTGGTTTGTGCTTTGTGTTTCGGGTCATTTAGTTGTCGCTGTTTTAAGAAAATGCCTGCTTTGTAACAGAAGCGCATTTTGGAGTTCAGTGGACAATGACATTTGGCCTGAGTCTTGTCTAAAGTTCAGCACTTTGAAGCGTGCAGGTGGGGGGAGTCAGCAACCCCCTGCTGAGTCCCTGGTTCCCTGGCTAAGGCCTCCCCAGGAAGTCACAGCAGCATGCTCTCTAACTGTGACCCCCAGCTGACGCTGGACGTGGTTCTTGGCAGCTCTTAAGAGTTAGCCACCTTCGCTTCAAACCCAGTCACGTTGTTGGCTACAGGGGAAGCCCGGCACAGGGGGAAAGGGAAGTAGAAAGAGTAGCGATTCGATAAGCAGGTCAAGGATTCTTCCAAATCCACCCTCTGAGACAGGAAGTGCTATGGCCCAAGTTCCTTCCTGAAGGGATTTTCGGAAATGTGTACAGTAGCCTGCTCAGGCAAAGCTATGTTCTCCAAGGCCTTTCCCTAAGGGAAGTCCAAACAACAGCCAGCCCTCTAAGTTCCACATCCATGGATTCCACACCTGCAGATTCAACCTACGGCAGGTTAAAATGTTAAAGCAAACATTTAATAATTTAACAATACAAAATAATACAAATGACAAAACAATATAGTGGGTCCAGCAGATGGTGTTAATGGTTACTGGACTCCCATGTAGATGACCACAGATCAAGTCCCAGACCTAGCAGCTTAAAACTCACACCGGGCACATGTGCACATGTGTCCAAGATTCTGAGAGGAGAAGGGATTATGGTTGGCCAGTCCCCCAGGGTGTTGATTTCTTGCTTTCTGTCTCTCTCTATCCCTCTGTCTGTCCGGCAAGCACAAGTAAAACAAACAAACGAGATGGTGTAACAGCTGTTGGCATAGGTTTGCATTATATTAAGTATTACAAGTAATCTAGAGATGATTTAAAGGATAGGAGGCGGCATGTAGGTTACACACAAATACTTCATCATTTTACATGAGGGACTTGGGCATCTGCAGATTTTGGTGTTACAAAGGAGGCCCTGGAACCAATCCCCCACGGATGCTGAAGGACAAGTGTATTAAACTTTCAGAAACAATAGGAACTATCAAATCAGGCCACCTACAGTGTTCCTACTATGCATTCAAAAATTCTACACAGTTTACAAAGTCATATAATTGGTGAATTATACAATGTTGAAATCTTTTGATCCAATAATCCCACTCATGGGAATTTATTCTAAGGTGATCAAAGGAAGGAACTAAATTACATGCATGATGGTATTTATTGCAGTTATCTATAAAAGGAAGAAAAAAAAAAGAGAATTCAAATCTCTAGCAAGAAGGGAATAATTTTATCATTGTGGATCATTAGGAAGACCAAAAAGAAATGGATTTATATGAAACATATGTAAAATCTCAGAATATAAATATTTTATGTATGTTATGTTTTAAAAGTATTTTTAAAAAATATATTCTATGGAGCCAGTAGGTGGCATGGTGGTTAAGGCTCTGGGTTCCCACATGGTCATTTCAGGTTTGAGTCCCAGACCTGGCAGTTTGCTTTCTCTCGCTCTCTCTTTCTCTCTCTCTCCCTGTGTGTGTGTGTGTGTTTGGTGAACACATGTGCTCTGTAGTAAATTTTTTAAAAAGACAATTAAATAATTTTTGAAAATTTTTTTTCTATAATTTTTCTTTTTTTTTTAGTTTTTGCCATAGGCACATGCACTCACCAGAGAGAGAGACAGAGAGAGAAAGAAATCACTCCCTGGGAGGGGGAATGGCCACCCCATAATCCTTTCTCTAGTCCCCTCTTGGGATTTTGTGCATGCATGCACACACGCCAGGTGTGATTTTCAAGCTGCCAGGTCTGGATTTGAACTGCGGTGTCGGCTGTGTAGGATCCAGCACTTGAACCTCCATGCCACCTGCTGGCCCTCTACGTAAAGTGTTAAACAGTCTGTGAAAGGACAGGGGTCAGGAGCAATACAAGGAAGGAAATTCAATTTGTGAGTAAGCTTTTTCTTTCTTCTGTTTTAATTTATGGAAATGTTTAATAAAAAATGATAAATATCATCTTTTAGCAAATCTCACCACTATTTTTATACGTGTCCAAAATTAGACTTAAAGAACAAAAACAAAAGGATTAGAAGCAGCGATGTGTCAGGGGTAAATAAGAGCCAGTAGAAAGGGCTCTTGCGATGGAAGCATCTCCCTTTTTTATTTAGCACTTCTTCCATCTTTCCCTTGCTGAAAGGACTGAAAGGCAGAGCGGCATGAATTACCTTTTCTTTAGAAGACAGCGTGGGGTGTACAAACTTCCTGTAGAGGAGGCTGGAGCCTTTTGTGTAGGGAGACAGCAGCCAGGCTACAAACGCTATTTTTAGTTCATAATAGAATGGAAACCTGGAGCGAGAGATAAACACACATTCCGTTAGGTTCTCAGCAACACTGCCCGGGGCCTGCAGAGGACGATACCCGGCAGGTGGCACGGCCATCTCTCCTGCCCGCACATGGCTGCGAGGTTCTCAGGTTCCCCGTCACCCACCAAGGCATGTGCACACACGCACACACAGATATCCCCGAGGCCTCTCTTTGAAAGCCAGTTCGTGTTTTCTTCCGTTGCCAAAGCAGACCAGGAATGCAGGTTCTCTCCAGCAACCTCCCTCGGGCCCTACCTGGCAATGGCTGGCACCTCTCCCTGCGCTATGCTCATTTAGGGAGATGCTGGGGCCACAGCCACAGCCGGCAGGTCCAGAAGACCGCCTCCACGTCCCATCCCCAGTCACTCACTCATGGCCAGGAAGGTATACACGCCAGGAGGAACTATGACTGGAAGGAGCTGACAGAGTTTCCAGGCTGGGAGTAAAAGCCTCCCTTTCTTGGTTGTTTTCTTGGCCCAAATAGAGGCAGTGAGAATCCCACCTCTGGTCAGAAAGAATGCTACTCACGCTGCTCAAGACAATGGCAGACAAACAGATGGTGATTTTTTTGGTGCCAAAAGCAGCATTCTAGGTGCAGATAACACAGTTCCAGAGTCTGAAGTCCTGCACACCCTCAAGCCCACTCATTTGTTCATCCCACACACACTGACCCGGGAACTTCATGTGCCAGCTTGTGCTGAGTGTGGGCGAGACAGTGGTGAGCAAGGAAGGCCTGATTCCCTGCCCTCTCAGAGCTTCCAGGCCAGTGAGAAACACAGACAAGATTCTGGCACCCTTGGGAGAGTCCACAAGGAAACGGAAGGACGCAATACTCACAAATAATAGAAACGTGATTAGAAAAAGGAAAAGAGCACAGTCTGGCAAGCAGCATCTGGTCTGGATAACAACCTTGCTCACCTCCTGATTCTTTGTGCCGTGAACAACCTGCACAACCACACTCGGCAGTCCTGAGGTGTGTTAATCATGTCCTTTATTTTCTGGTCTCTGATGCTTTGACATCTTGGACCTGGCTGACCCCAAAGGGACTGCCCATCCCAGTGTGAGCCAGTTCCTAAGAGAGTAAAGGACTTACCTGCAAACACACCTTTCTTTTTTTTTGGAGGGGGGCAGTAGAGAGATTTTTGCTATAGGGCATGTGTGCTGGCCAGAGAGACAGAGAGATGAAAAGTGAGAAATCATCCCCCAGGGGGATAGTCATGCTGCAATCCCTCTTCCTCCACTCTCGTCTTGGGATTTTGGGCACACACAGTACACACGTGCCCAGTGTGAGTTTTAAGTTGCCAGGTCTGGGACTTGAACCACGGTTGACTATGTGGGAGTCAGGCAACATAAGCGACATAACCATTACTCCATCTGCTGGTCTCACAAGCACACCTTTCTTACGCAAACCAACAGCCTCACCACCTCCGTTACTGGGCTCTCGCCATCCACCTGCCCCAGTCACCCCAGGACCAGGGACCCGACATCCTGAGACAGCCCTACACCCAAGAAATTATTCCAGCCAGACAACCTCAGGCCAGCTGATCCTTCCTCGCTGCTCCTATGGAAACCACAACACAAGCTCTTGACGGGGTCTCCCCTGCTCCTGCAGCGTGCCTCTTGTTTCTTGGGATGTGTGAGCATACGAACTTCTGTGTTTGCACAATTCACCACATCTGAGTACAACAGTCCCAGAGTCCTTAACACATCATGCTGGGCCAGCAGGTGGCACAGAGGTTAAGGCGGCTGGATGGCCGCCTGCATGGTTCAAGTCCCGGACTCAGTGGCTTGAAAATCACACCAGGCGCCTGTGCATTTATGCCCAAAATCCTAAGAGAAGGATGGAGAAGGATTGCAGCATGTCCATCCCCCTGGTGGGGGAGGGGTGCTTTCTCACTTTCTCTCTCTCTCTCTCTCTCTCTCTCCGTCTCCGTCTCTTTCCAGAGAACACACTTACCGTACAGAAGAAATGTTTTTTAAAAAGCAAAAAAAACACAATGCTGAGTCAGTCAGTGGCATGCTGGGTGAGGTGGCCGGATCCCACATGGCCATCTGCATGGTTTGAATCCCAGGCCTGTGGCTTGGAAGACACTCCAGGTATGTGTGCATGCATGCCCAGAATTCCAAGAGGAGAAGGAAGAAGAAGGGATTGTGGCATGGCTGTCCCCCATGGGGAATGCTTTCTCACTTGTCCCCACCCTCCAAGTGCATGCACTCCATAGCAAAAATTTTTAAAAAAAGAAAAATGATCCTATGATGGAGAAAGTTGCCTGTGCTGGTTTGAAGAATCAAAAACATAAAATGTAAAAAATGTAAATATTCCCCAGGTCTCCTCCCCAGACAAGGGAGCCGAGAGAGAGAGAAAGAGCGCGCAAGCCAGCGAGCAACATCTAGCCAGTCTTTCCAGGGTCCTTCAGTCCTCACCCAGCATCCCCCAAATCAGCAGCCCCACCCACTCCTCCTTTCCTCAACCCCCTTCCCACGCCCCACCTCCCTGCTGCCTTCTGCCAGGGCAGGCTCCTCCTGAATACTCCCTCAGCAAGGTGGGGGCACCTTCCTGACAAGGTGGTTTAACGATTCACAGCCAGAAGAGAGGCCTAAAAGAACACAGGTGTGTTCTCCCCCATTTGAACACTCTGGTGATTAATAACGGAGGAGCTTTGTTTTGAAAACAAGTATTTTCCAGCCCCAAGGGGAGAGCAAATGAGTCTGGCAAGCTCAGGCACCAACGTGAGACACGCAGATAATCTCAAGGGCCTCTGTCGCACTGCGGCTCTTATTTATTCTGTAAAAGACGTATTTTATAAATAGGTCATGCAGGTGACAACATTTAGACAACTCTAAGAGGGTATACGACATCGAGTCTCTTTCCCACCACCCTCACCTTTATTCCTTTACCAAAAGCAAAGCCATTTTCAGTTTCTCACATGCCCTTCCTTCCAGGGCCGGACCAGGGCTAGGCACGTAGCCTTACCGTTTACACAGGCACATTGAAAAGTTCATGGAAAAATAGAATGAAAGTATCAGTTTATCTGGTACCAGAAACTTTCAAGGGGCTGACACCACAGCAGTAAGGGAGCTGGATCTCACAAAGCTGACAGCAGTTTGAACCCCAGCCCCAGTAGCTTGAAAAACACACGAGGCACTGCATGTGCATGCCCCAAATGCAAACGGGATGGAGAAGTGGATGAAAGGGATTGTGGTATGACCATATCCCAATGGGGAGTTCTCTCTCTCTCTCTCTCTCTCTCTCTCTCTCTCTCCTATGAACACATGTATCCCTCTGGCAATTAGAATAAAAAGAGAAAAAAAAATTTCAAATCCACAGTTTTTTTTCATCACAGGCATTTTCCCTGAATTTTTGAAGAGCTCCCTGTACTGAAAACCACTTTAAGCGTATGAATTGTATGGTATTCTTGATTGCTCGGCCACCCCCATACACAAACAGCAGCATTCTGCACTCCCTCTCCTGCCCGGCACATTGCAAACACACATACACGTGAGTATCCGTACACCCTTGGGGAATATTTCATACCAGTGCACAAAGAAATGACTCACCTTTTTAAGTTAAGGCACTTATTTATTATATTATTATTATTTTTTAATTCCAGAGGGCATGTGCACTTGCCAGAGAGACACAAACAGAGGGAGAGGAAGAAAGCACTTCCCCAAGGGGTGTGGTCACGCCACAATCTCTTGGCCTCCATCTTTTCATCCTGTTGGGATTTGGGGCACATTTGCACATGCACCCAAACATACCCCTGGGCTGGAATATGAACTGTTGTTGGCCAATTGGGGTCTCTGGATCCCTTAACCACTAGGCTACAGGGCTGGCCCATTTATTTATTTCTTCCATGAGTGAGAAAGAGAGAGAGAGAGAATGCGAGACAGCAGCCTCCACAGAATCTTTCTGCCATGATCCACTCCCAGCCTCAGCCAGCCCCAATCATGGGCGTTGACGTGCCCAGTCTACTCAGGGAGTCTCCAGATGCAAACCGGGAACCTCCCCACGTGGGCCAGCTCCTGTTACCACTGTGCCACTGAGGGCCACTACTCCTGCTCACTCTCATGGACTGCACATGGGTGCACAAGCATCTGCCCAAGCCCATGAATGCATGTTTACTACGGCTCCTACAGCACAGCTGCAAGGGAACCTCCATGTCTATGTTTACACACGCTCGCAAATGGATCTTTAGCATAAATACCAGCAGTGGCGTTTCGCTGTGTACTTCACAGACAGAGGCTGCACCTAAGAGGCTGACTCCCACAACCGTGCCCTGGCAGGGTATGGCCCGCTGTAAGAGTCTGCCCCAGGCCGTGAGATGAGGTCTGTGAGATGAGCTTGCACACTGGATCCTAGCTGCTCCTTGTGGACTGCCAGAGCCCCCTTTATTCTCTGACCAGCTACAAACACTTCCTTTTGGGGTCTTCCTGGTGTATCCCTCTATGCTGATGCAGGCTTTGGCAACCTTCTTGGCTTCACTTTCCAAGTCTTCTCTTGTCAGACCAGCAAAGCATCTCTGGTGACAAAGGCCAGGTAGCAGAATTCATTAGGAGAGGCCTCCACACCTGCCCGTTTGGGTTCCGCCCTCCCAGGTGGCTCTGGACTGGTAGAAGGGGGGTACTTTGCATTCCCCTTTCACCTTGGGTAATGGAGCTTGTTATGAGAGTATCTGGGCAAGAAAATGAGCTGGTTCTAGAAGAATCCCAATGGACTACATTTGTTCCTCAGGCAGAAAGGTGACATAGGTACAGAGATGGGGAAAGGAAGCCACTACAGCCTGCTAATTCCTAACCTGTCTAGAACTCGGATGAAAAGCAGGCTTCTTTGGCGTCACTTCTTGGTAGCCAATGCAGTCTCGAGAACTACTTCCTACCACTTGCGATCACTACATTTTCCTTTAATTTCATTCCTTACGCTTTTTTCCTGCCCCACGTGCCTAAAGAAGGACCACTGGCTCTCTCTCTTTTTTGTTCAGTCAT